GCTTGATAACAGCTAAAGGTATCAAAAGGCTTGATAACAGCTAAAGGTAGCTGTAGTGTTATGCCCATTTCACCTCACCTGATCTCACCACCGGTTGACCTTTGACCCCCTGAGGTCAAAGCTCTCCTCTCCCAGACTGAACTGTTTCAATCCTCGCTGAGGACTATAAAACACAAATCTTTCACTGCCTCTCCTTTCCTCTGGGAAAGGTCTTGTTCTCAAGAAATTTGTAATTTGCTGATAAAAACAAATTAAAACATTCTGTCTGTTATTGCTGTTCCTTCAAACATGTATAATTAATGCTTAAACCCTTTAAAATATGTTTCCAATCCAATCCAACTTTATTTGTAAAGCACTTTTTGCACCATAGTAGACCAAAGTGCTGTACAGAATCAGCACTGCAACACAGCTCATACAAAGACAAACTCAATCACAATTAAAACAGGGGGGGAAAAAACACAAAAAATTAAAGCAGGTATTAAAACACAAAGTAAAAACAAGGAATAAAAACAATAAAATGCTAAAACCTAATTCAAAATCTAGAATAAAAACAAAAAAATAAAATCTAATATAAATAAACAACACAACCACTCACACAGTGTCAAAAGCCAAAGTAAACAATTGGGTTTTAAGATGAGTTTTAAAAACAGCCAGTGAAGAGGACTGTCTGGAGAGGCAGCTCGTTCCAGAGTTCAGGAGCTGCTGCAGCGAAAGATCGATCCCCCTTGAGTTTAAGTCTGCTTTTAGGGACCCTCAGGAGCAGTTGATCAGCTGAGCTGAGGGAGCGGCAGGGATTATAGGGGTGCAGCAGATCAGACAAGTATAGTGGGGCAAGGCCATTCAAAGATTTAAAAACAAATAAAAGTATTTTAAAATGGATCCTAAAAGGCACGGGCAGCCAGTGAAGTGAAGCTAAAATGGGAGAAATGTGGTCATATTTACGTGTGCCAGTTAAAAGCCTTACTGCAGCATGTTGGACCCTCTGCAGCCGAGCAATGGAGGACCCACTAACCCCCAGATAAAGTCCATTACAGTAATCCAGCCGGGTGGTGACAAAGGCATGGATCACTGTCTCAAAATGTCTTCTTGGAACAATGGGTTTTATTTTGGCTAGCTGCCTCAAATGGTAAAAACTCCTTCTAACAACTGACCTAATGTGGCTTTCTAATTTAAGTCCATTTCAACTCCCAAATTCCTCTCTAACAATTTGTTGTACTGAGTCAAGGAACCAAGCTCTCCAGGGGAGTGGCCAACAGTACCTCCAAAAACCACAACCTCAGTCTTGGTTTCATTAAAACTCAAAACATTTTGTGCCATCCAGGCCTTCACGTCCTCAAGACACAAAAGAAGTGAGTCTATTGACATTTTGAGAGGGACATAGATCTGGCTATCATCTGCATAACAATGAAATGGAATACCATGCTTTCTGAGAATAGAACCGAGTGGGAGGAGATACAGAGAAAACAAAAGTGGGCCTAAAATTGAGCCTTGAGGGACTCCACATGAAAGAGGAGAAGAAGAGGATACTGACCCCTCAAGACTAACACAGAAAGTTCGGTTGGACAGGTAGGACCTGAACCAATTCAAGGCAACACCCCGATTCCTGCCCACCAGTCCAGCCAAGATAACAGAATGTCATGGTCCACAGAGTCAAAAGCAGCTGTTAGGTCTAAAAGCACGAGGATGACACAGTCACCGGAGTCAGAAGCTAAAAAAATATCATTAAAAACTCTTTAAAAAGCTGATTCAGTGCTGTGGAGAGTTTTAAAACCAGATTGGAAAGCCTCGAGAATACTATGCTCTTCAAGAAAACCAAGCAATTGATTGTACGCAATTTTCTCAAGGATTTTGGAAACGAAACAAAATTAGTGGTGTCCAGTCCAGGTTTTTTAATAAGAGGTTGCACCACTTCATGTTTAAAATGATCAGGGACCACACTGGAGGACAGACTACTATTAATGAGTTCAAGACAAAATGGTCCTAGGGTGGGGAAAACCTCTTTAAAAAGTCGAGGAGGGACAGCATCCATAGGAGAACCTGAAGGCTTTTCAGATGAGAGATAATCTCCTGAAGAGAHGACAGAGTCACAGGTTCAAACCTGTCAAAAACTGCACAAGCAGGGACACAAATGAAGGGATCATGAGTAGAAGGTCTGGTCTCTAATAGTTTTGATTTTATCTATGAAAAAGTGAAGAAAATTTTCACAAAGAACAGAGGGAACATCAATACTAGCAGACTGTGGGGGATTAAGAACCAAGTCAATTGTTGTGAATAAAACACGAGGTTTGTGACAGTTTGACTGGATGATATCCGACAGATATGTTTGACTTTTTTACTTTTCAAACGCTCTCTAGTTATCTCATAACTTTGCATTTGTGTTTTGAACATGTTTAGAAATTTATGAGTTAGTGATAACAGAATATATTTTAGTCAACGCTTACATTTTTATCTTTTCACTTCTGTTTTAAATAAGCATTACTCAATCATTTTATTAGTTTAATAATAATAGTACATAATTAATCATTAGTTAATTGAAATATTAATCTAATGTTCTTTAAGAGTTGAGTTAATCCTGCTCACAAATGTTCATGTGCTGTGTTAGCCTCGGGTCTTCCACATGCAGAACAACAAACACGTTCCCATGAGAACTCTTCACCGTACACTTGGACACCTGCAGATAACACTGCTACACACGTTGTTCTTGTCTCTGACTGTGAGAACGCAGCTTTCGCTGTACCCTTAAAACCTCTTCGTTACTTCCTGTTCGTCAGTCTGTCTGCTCGTCTGTCTTCGTCCTGCTGGGTCAAGAGGCGCAAGTCGCCTTCCTTGCTTTTTCCTGGACTGGAAAACAGCTACGTTTTCCAGTTTCTTTTTGCAGCATATTTTTCACTTTCTCTCACAAGGAAATGCTTTTGGTTGGAATACCACTTTTGTTCAGGGTTGCTCAGTCTGAAACCTGGAGCCATCACCGTTGCTGTGAGTTTTTCAACGTTCCTGACGGACCTGTCGGTTCTGAACCACTGCCACGTTCCTGATAGCTCCGAGTCCATGAAAAGGGACCTGTTTTACCCAGAGGCCTCGGTCTGTGCTGTTCAACAAGCATCTACCCAGAGCTGGGGTCTGGTCTCGTTTGGAAAGGTTCCTGGACTACGGTAAAGCTGATGTGTGCTTCACTTTGGCTCTCAGGCTCACATTTAAAACACATAATTTAAAGAACGTTAAAAGATTTATTTGTTGTCTGTTTGTTTGTCTTCTCTCTCTCCCCCTTACATCCATACACACACACACACCCTGACCCTGAATGTACACAAAATAACCTGCTTTTTCTAAGTTAAAATTGTTAGACAAACTACTTAAACTGGTTAAAAGTAGAAAGCAACTGTTATATTGAGAGCTCATTTATTATTTAATCATTGTAACCTCTTGTTAATCATTCAATATTACTATCTTTAATWAAAGTCAGTTAGTTTTTAACTGGCCAAAATAAAAGAACGACATGGTGTGTTTTCTGTGTTTATTTTGGTGGTTGAATTGTTTTTTATTTTATTTTATTTTATTTATTTTTGGTGGTTGAATTGTTTTGTTTAACAGATACCATCTCGAACCAGGAGGAATACTCTTAATTAAAATCATATTCATGATTTTAACGAGGGTTTTCTCTACATGGCAAAAGGCTAGATATCAGCAAAAGGTATCAAAAGATTAGGTATCAGCTAAAGGTAGTAAAAGGTTAGATGTCAGCTAAATGTATAAAAAGGCTAGGTATCAGCTAAAGGTATCAAAAGGCTTGATAACAGCTAAAGGTAACAAAAGGTTTGATACCAGCTAAAGGTATCAAAAGGCTAGGTAACAGCTAAAGGTACAAAAGGCTAGATATCAGCTAAAGGTAGCAAAAGGTTTGATAACAGCTAAAGGTATCAAAAGGCTAGGTAACAGCTAAAGGTAGCAAAAGGTTTGATAACAGCTAAAGGTATCAAAAGGCTAGATAACAGCTAAAGGTATCAAAAGGCTAGGTAACAGCTAAAGGTA